GGTCAATTCGTCAGAATGCAAGTGGGCTTTTTTTCGGTTTTGTTTGTATTCAATTAAATCACACACTACCTGGTCTTATGTAATTAATAAGTTGGTAAAAACATTAAGTAAAGCAGCAGTTAACCTGAGAAGTGCGGGAAAAGTAGGAAAGATGACCTGTGCAACATCCTATGTTTTCAGATGCATTCTAATTAAAAAAATACTGGCTGAAAATTGTGCAAATTGTTAAATACGACATATATTCTTAACACTGTCATGGAATGCTGTAAATAAGGAAAATAATTATAGGGCATCATTTTAGAGACGTTTTGTTCATGCAAGGAGCAGGATGTATCCAAATATTTTGACAGAATTAAAATAAACATTTCAGGATATCCATCTAGCAAAGCAAAAGCAGAGGGAATTGTTTAATGACGATTCCAAGTTAACTTGGATGAAAGGAATCCAAACATATCCTTGACAACTGATTTCCAGGGGTTGTCATAGAGCCATAATGATATCAGCTTATGTTGTGGTTTCATCTGCATATACAGCTGAGTAGATAAAAACCATCATAATGATATTTTACATTTAAATTTCTGTGCGAGATTTGGCTGGTTAATATAAAAAGAATTTAACTCTTGTTGTCATCAAATAGAGCCTAAACAAGAATTCAATTTCATATTTTCAGCTTATCTTACTGCCCTGTTTTAGCTGTAATGTGCATAATCCAGATATAAAAACTTAAAATAAAATATTTATAGCCAACAATGACAGGTTTTTACCACTCTCTGGGTTTGTTCTAGCTTTCTTTGATGGGGGTTCAATTATTGATATACTCCTCTCCACCTCCATAAGAAAACAGCTGCTTTCAAATGATGTCAATCGGATTTTTTTAAAAATTATCAATAATTTATGTATGCCTATGCATCTTGAAACAGTATCTTGATTTTACCAAATGCATCCAAATTCAATTAAAATGCAGTTCTTGAAAATGTCTTTTAAAATCTAATTAAGAAAAATGTTTAAATGTCTGGTATGTTTTTCTTAGAATTACCATATTAGTATAATTACATATGTTCCATCCAACTTTTTAGTTGCAAATAAATATTATTATATTTTCAAATGATGTCAAATTCCACTTTTGATCTTTTTTATTCTCAGTGAGTAGACATCAATGTCACAATGTTGCCATGCTTTCCATAAAGTTATAGTTACCCAATGAAATGAAACACAACATAAGTTCCAAATGTAGAATCTTTTTCTAAAGGTTTATTGGGGGAACCTGTCTACTAAACTGTATTTGATATCAAGCTTTGAAGTGGCCTTTTATGATTGATAGCTATGCGATATATTGGCTTTCAAACTAACAATCATTTACATTCATCTCTTATTCCTTTAGACTCGGTGTGAAGATGATGACAGAATATAAAATGCTTAATTAAAAAACAAAAACAAAATAGCAGACAATTTTGCTGTAAAATTTATGATACAGGGATAGAAAATCAGTCAGTTTTGTCTCATTAATTCACTTCTGATTTTGGATAGTAGAGGGGGAGGTGGGGGCAGCATAGGGATACACCATGCAAATAATAAAGGTTATCAAGTTACAGGAAAATGAACATGATTAAATGGTGTCACATCTAATTACCAGTTGACAACATTCACACTGTTCACCATGAAAGCACAAGTAAATGTTTTCTTTGACATAATAACATGTACTGTTTTTTTTTAAATTCAGTCATATCTATAAGGTACAATAACTGTCAAAGTGTTAACAACTAATCTATGTGTTATTCTCCCAGTTCACATTAAGTTATTTTAGTTTATTATAAATCCATTTCAGATCACATATTATCTATATCTATAATAAAACATTGGAATTGTTGATATGATACACATTATCAAAATGAATATAACAACATATTATAACATCATGCCCACTTTTCCACCTTGGTAGTTTGTAGTTTTTGTAGATCAGACAAAATAAGAAATCATTTAGGCATTTATAGATCTGTCAAATATTGCATACATCTTTGATATTTCCTTGGTATCATCACTTTGTCTACATTGGTCAGTATATGGGTGATTCTCTTCAAGCTTGTTGATAACTTTCTTCTCCAGGTTAGAATCTAATATATGATTATGACACACCTAAAATAAAACAAATAATAAACAACAGATACATGTGACTGAAAAATATATATTATACAAGTTTGAATATAATATGCTACTATTCAAGCACGTCACTGACTGAAGTCTAAGGTATACATAGTCAGCAAATGATTGGTAAGTGTACATGCAGTTTATTAAAATCTAGACTGAATATTTGATCTCTTAGCAAACAGATCACTGATTCACTTGAACTTTGAAGTTTAAAAGTATTCTTTATAGGAAAAAATTCCATTCAGTAATATGACAAATTAAATACATCATCAGATTTCATTCCCAAAATGGCTGTGGTGAGGTGGGTGATATCAGCATGGAACTCCATTGCACTGGTAGCCTGGGTTTATTACATGACTTATAAGAAATTTCTTTAAGCGTAAACAGAAACAATACTTACATAGTGAAGAAATATAACAACATCGTTCCACCAACTGTCCTGCTTCAAGTCTCCTTTCAAAAATGCTGTCACTATGTTTTCAAGCTGTTTTACTTTGACTAACTCTCCACCAACACAGCTGACCAGCTGCAAATGAGAGAGCATTCACATCTAAATTGATCCATGGACTAACTAGTCCTCACATCAAATACGGCGCACATTTGACAATGGATTCCCGCCTCCAACACGCATATTCCCAGCAGGGGTAGAGCAATTAAATCTTGGCACGCTTTCAAGAGGGTGGCGCCATTTTTGATCCACGGATCAGTTAGTCCACAGATCAACTTGTTCTGAATGAGCCCTTACTCAACACTTATAGAATTGAACAACAAATTCAGTAAAAGTGCAAAATATGAAAATTAAAAATAATCTTATTTTGCTTGGCAAATGGAAATATAGAAAACCTATTTGTGTTTGTAGATGTATATACTGTGTACACATTATCTGAGTTACTTTATATATTAAAGTCACAGTGTTTTTTTTTCTCTTTTTTTCCCCCCAAAGAAATTTTACAAAGATATGCTTGACCAACCGAACTGACATCTTTTATATACTTTTATATACTTTTAAGTATATAATATTATATTAAAATATACTCACCAAGTTAACAATTGCTAACACACAGGTTGGAGTCTTTCTTGCTTCAAAGGTTTCTAGCAGTGTGGTCAGCATGAATCTATTCCATGGCTGTTCTATCAGACTGTGGCCTGCAGGAGAAAACATTTCAACAATTTTTCGAAAATGTAAAAAAATCAAAGATGTTATGTAGCTCAAATTGTTTATCATAAAAGAAAGCTGGGAAAGACAAAAACCATTTACAGACTAGAGGATCAGAGAGGCGATACCGCCTCCAAATATTGTACCACCAGCTGGAGCAAGCGCATTCGTATAGACCCCCACATATACAAAATAAGGGACACAGCCACCAGTCTTGTGCTTGACAAGCTGTAAAAATGCAATCAACAAGAATTTTCAAAATATGCAAAAAATATATATAACTAAAAATGGTACAATCAAATTTAAGTTCATTGTAAGGTAGGTCAAAGGTCAATTTCAAGGTCACAGTAAATTGCCGGTATATGACTGCNCGGCGACGGCGACGGCGACGACGGCGACGACAGACGCAGATGATGGCTATATGTACAGACACATTTGTGTCTGTACATAAAAATGTAGGCTTGCAATTGGATACTGCAATACAGGGTTGTTAAAATAGAATTAGCTGAAAATATTACCTGTTTTCAATACCTGTGGCTTCAAGTATCGTGTCAGCAAGTTGTGAAGACAAATAACAGCAACGCACTGCAAATGCCTATTTTCCTGAAATAAATTTGAAGGAATCAATATACTATCAAAGACCAAAGATAAAATCAAATGTCTAACTTTATTTTTTGCAAAACTGAATTTACTTACTAGAAAAACAAATAATTATTGGCCATTTTCCACTTGTTTTGGAAATTTAAAGCAAAATGCAAATCCAGTCTCATAGAAGGCTAGCAAAAAGCCCTAGATCAAAAATATATTTACAAAGAAATGCAGCAGCATGAAATATCATCTATACCTGTGGCATTTACATTTACATAACATTTACCTTAAAAACAGCCTGCTGAATGTAAATAAGTAACTTCCTCAAATACTGGGTCTTTATGTGCAATTGTGTATTGTCTCGACCTACAAGATCTGTGTGATCTGTGTCATCCAGTAACTCCACTATAGCACACGATCCAGAAAAGTGAGTGGAGAAGTAGACTGCCCAGAACTGTAGAACACTGATCTGCTGGAGATATACTTTGGACTTAGTTCTTTCTAGAAGCCATGCCAATTGCAGTTGAACATGATTTTTCTAAAAATGTAAAGTAGAGCAATGTCAGTCTAAAAAAAACCTTTAAGTAATCAGACTCAGTGAGAGTAAAATATATTCTGAGTAATGGACAATCATCCCGATTTACAAGAACCTGTGGCAGACATGGTATCAGTTTGCAAAATGTTTGAAAAAAATTTTAAATATAACATATAAAGACACACTTGTATGCATGGTCTGCCTGTCTAAGTATTGCAAAATTGCATAGTACTATTGCTTCCACTTCTGATTTATAAAGTTCCAATGAAGCTACGTTCTAAGCACATAAGAACCCAGACAGACACAAATTAAATTTTCAAACACATTTTAATTGCCCAATAGCTGCAACAAATCAAATGGCCATACTTATTATTATGGTGAAGAGAACAACAACACTTATACATGTATGAGATACTTAAACATACAATAAGATGTGGAATACTAAAATCTGCCTGCTGGAGTACAAGTAATGCCAGTAGCTGCAGTGCTTTGGTGGAGACTATGTCCTCATTTGACAAAACAAGGTGTTGGAGAATACAAAGGAAACTTTTGTCTGTCAATATAATGGTAGCAACTGAAACGGCAAAAAATACAGTATACAATAAAAATATCTTCTTTAGGTTAGTGAAACTTTGTTTTTAGTGTAGTAGTTTACAGATTTTTGATGAATTGAGTGCTGTTTATATAAAATATGGGAAAGAAAGAGATAATTAAAAACATATCTTATTGTTGCACTGGTATTTTAAAAACAATATGCATCAATTTTGTATTACTAGTTTGACAAAACATAAATATTATCTCTAGCAGGCTCTTACATCCTACAAATTTCTCATAAAATACCTCTGTTGTCCTGACTTTTCCCTGCTTGTAGTAATAAATTGGAAAGGAATTCTTCAAACATAAAAATCAACTGTTTTGGAATCTTTTCATTGTCATTCCCTAGTAGACTGCAGACTAAGAAAACAGAAAAACCACTATCTTATCAATTCTTGAAGATGAACTGTTAAATATTCTGCAAATTCACACTGGGAATTGCTCACAGAAAACATATTGTGTTAAAGCACTCCATATGAATAGTTGCAATATTAAACTTATGTACCTTGGTTCACCAACTTGAGGTCTGTTGCATTAATGCCAGTGACGAACTGATCCTGCATAATCAGCAGAATTTCCAACATTGCTGTGAGGTTGTGTTCTGAAACATAGGAGATTATCTCACATCAAATAACAATGCAAAATAAATTTTAAAATGCATTTCAATCTATGGGAATGGGTCTCAAATCTATATTGAAGTCACTAGGGGGGTGATTAAAAGCAGTTCTAAAGTTAAGAATTTCCTAGAAAAACATGCCATATTTTCATTTACATATGCTAATAATATCCAACTTTTAATTGTACTAAATATCATATTTAAAATAATTTAATTGCCCTTTCATTGAAAGTTGAACTTTGAATGGCTATGAATGTAAAGAATTTTAACTGCAATTACCATAATCTTTTTATCACCATAAACCAGTAAAATATGAGGTTAAACACAGAAGTTATCTGTCCTTGTCAGAAGTAATATATTGAAGATTGTTTAGAGCAATAGTTGAGAATAGAAAGGGCATAAAGGGATATTAACAGAAAATACATGTGGACTCACCTGCTTTCTTTACAGACTTAGCAAGGAAAATTCTGTGCACTACATCAGACAACATTTGTTTCAATGTGCTGACAGTTTTGGGGTTTGGTGATTGTTTGCCATCCTAAAAATAAACAAAAAGAGAAACACTAAGTTGTTAAGCTTATTTCATATAAGAAACTTTATTGTAGATATATATATATATATTCACAATCAACAAAGATTTCAATATACTGGGTGTCAAGTGCACAGTATAGAATATGTTTTGTCCTACCTTTTCAAATACTCTTCCCAACAGAAGGGTTACTTTGGAAACACTTTCCTCATCCCCATCAGTCAGGATGTCCTTTAGAAATAAATGCACTATGACAAATATTGAACATATAGAAATTGAGAAATGAGGCACTGACAAAATTAAACCACCAAATGGAAAAGAACCAATGTATTTCAAGCTATCTGATAATACATGTTATTTTTGTATTGCAACAAATGTTTGACAGGTTTAATCCATTTTCTATACATAAAACTTTCAAATTAATACAGTGAATAGATCATCTTTAAGTAAAAATGGGATAAAAATGTAAAGAAAAAAAAAGAAAAGAAACTTACCAATGCAGCTTGTAAACATTTTGTATTTTCTTTGACCAGTGTAAACAGTTCTGCCCAACCTGGTTCTTGACTCATGTCCAATGGGGAGAGAGACATCTGGGCAGGAATGATACTCAGCCACTGCTTCAACTGTGGAGATTAATACCACTAGAGTAAGATACCACTACCGTTTCATTTTATGTAAATTTATCTGTATTCACCATGCTATGGTTAATCCACATCTCCATCTTTGAAAATAATAAATTCTATCAAATAATTTTGACATTTAAAAATAAGATTACTTGATATCTCATTCATATTTAGATGGAGATGCATCTGTGTTGAAGTATAAAGTTTTTATAAGGTTAAAACTGTCTGATTCTGACCCCAGTGGCAAAGGTTTTGGGTGAGACAAAAAGCTGAGACAAGCTTCAGAACATAAATCAGATATAATAACTTCAAAACACAATTCATTCGTGTTACATTTACAAGAATAATTCATCAGCAAAATCACGCCTACTGAAACTGAAAAGGGTGCCATAAAATATTAAACTTACCACATGTTTTCCCTGCATATTGGAGATCTTTGGATTGAGAAAACACCACTGGAATACCTTGGGATGGCCAAGAAGCCACGAGGAAGTACTTGAACATTTGGACAGACCCACTGACAGCAGTTGCAAACCTATGTATAAAAATAATTTTTACATATTATTTTGTTTAAAAAAGTTTCAGCCTAATGTTCTCCAATGTCAGGAGAGAAGAAGAATGCAATGTAGAATTAAATCTATTGTACTTCCCTTGGCTTTCTATTTATATATATATTCATTTTTAGTTTGTGAGTTATAAAATGACCACAAATATAATTCACTCAGCTGTTAAAGAGCTAGAGAGTCTTAACCTTACAATAAACATTTTCTTTCTTTTTGTAAAAAAATAAAAAATAAATAAAATAAAATAAATATAAATAAATATAAAACTCTTTAATGTACTACCTTGTTGTTGTTCCTTTTTCGTATGGGTCTGTGTGGAACCAGTGCATACCTAAGGTGTATGAACAAAGTTGAAACTTTTAACAAGAGGAAAAACAAAAATTATTACTGAACCTCAAAACTACACACACACACACACATGCATGCATGTGCATAGTTACATGCACATGAATTCACATCTAGGAAGGAGTACATTATCCTTATAAATATTGAAACTTGTGCTTATGGTGAAATATATAACGTCTCTCTCAGGTTATAAAAATTATGGTTAAATTTGAACAAAGAAATCCATAAGTTTGTCTCACACTCATCCCGAGCTTGAGAGTGCTACACTTTAAAGATACATCAATCTTCAAATGCTGTACCTCCTAATTACTGTACAGTGACATGGACAAGTTTCTATTAATCTTTGAAACTCAGTGTGACAAACCCTCATTTAAATTCCATCAATGATACTAACAGCCATTAGGAAGACCATGCTTTTAAGAGCAGTGTTGGGAAGGAGGTGCACATCTGGGTGGAGACAGAGATAACCACACAGAGTGTCAAACAGCACACTGGGGGAAACACACCTGGAAGATTGGTTTTAAGGTTTTACAGAAGATAGATACAAAAAAAAAATAAATAAATAAATAAAAATAAAAATAAAAAGAGCTGAAAATGCAGCGTGAATCAATAAAAAAAAAAAAAACACTTTCATACTGGAAATTAATAACTCCCCAAGAAATCAAGAGTGTAAGTACAGGTTTATTATAGATATTCATGGGAAAAGGTTGCTGAGCTATGTGTTAGCAATGTGCCTTTAATTAACAAACGGGTAGTTAGTAAAAATGGTGAAATTTTGCAAGTGAACCTTATAAAACAAATATAACTGACATGAAGCTGGATCAAATTCAACATCCCAGAAATCAATTAATTTGAAATTCATAAATAATTACATGCAAGGATGTGATATCACTAAGGTAAAATAAAAACTTGAGAATCACATCCTTCAGTAAATAAATAAATAAATAAATAAATAAATAAATAAATAAATAAATAAATAAAAGAGAACACAGACCTGTCCCCATGTTCATAGCTGAGGTAGATGAGGTATAATAACACATGTTGCTGAGCAGCATGAACATGATCTGCCTCTACACCAGTGCCATCTGCATGCTGGTTTAATACACTCAAAATATCCACCAGACTGCCTGAAATTATGCTATAACAGTTTTGAATATTGCATCAAAACTGAAATTAAAATAAATTTTCAATAAGATTTACAGGCATTTTAAAAGTCATTATAGCATTAATGCTGCAGTCCATCTAAGATAAAAATAAAAGCTGATGACTTTGAGAAAAGTTATTAATCATCATTACCTTTACCCATATGTTTAGAACTTGATAAAGACAAAACTTAACCTTGCAGAAATGTTAATCCTAGCTGCAACTCTCTTTTGAAATCTTTATCTTGGTCACTGGAACCAAACTGGCACAATTCCAACAGGAATTTGTTGATCACTTGTTTAACAGACGTTGATCTATCAGATATCAAAATGTAGCTGATTAACATTATATTTCATTATTTTTAGCAGAAAAAATTGTTAAATATGTAAAAACCTGTCACGGTGACTTCACAATTAAGCTGCCTCTGATATCAGTAAATGCAAACATATATTACTATAAAAGTTTAACTTTTAACTTAGTCACAAACAATAACAAAGGCATGTACATAACCATTTTAATTTTTAAAAATTAATCATTCTATGAACCAATGTACGGAAAAAAGCTTTTCTGTTTATGCACACCATTAGTTACAGAGGAATGATGATGGATTTCTTTTCTAACCAGCATAATAATAATGCAGTCTGTTTGATCTGACAAGCTTAAAGTTAAGCTGGTAACTACACCCACTAGAACCCAAAATACAGGCTCCAGTTAAAAAAAAAAAAAAAAAAGTCAGCTCCTTGGCTTAGATGACTAGAATTTCCATGAGAGTATTGTTGCACTGCTCCTGATAGGGTAACATGTGCCCATGTGACCATGTAACCTTGGTAATTAAGTTCTAAGCCAGGGAACCCGACTTAAAGCTACTCTTACAACCGGTCGTGCGTGCTTCTACGAGCGGTTTGCGTGCAAAAAATTTGCCAAGTAGTAAGATACACGCACGTGGAACATACTTTTTTTGGTGGACGCAAACATGACGCAAAGCACGCAACCCGAAAACTGGCCGGCCAGTTTTTCGCTACGACCTGTCTGCGACAATTAGAACGCCTGGAGCACGCTCGTAACATGCAAGACAAAAGTACTGAGTAAGTGCGCTAGGCGTGCGTGTAATGCAGGAAAAAGCATGCAGAAATTCTGGGGTTTTGTTACCAAGAAGACATACTTACCATGCAATGGACTCGTACGTTCAACTTGCTTTCAATGTACGTGTTAACAAAAAGGGGGTGAGCGCACTTCCTCCGTGCGTTTATCTTACTTCCAAAGTGCGTGGTGAGTACTACTACCGTACTTGTGAAGTGCGTCACTAAGACGACGCACATGACCAGCACGATAAAAGTGCGTCACAAGTATTCTTCGATCTTCGGCCTCCTCTAGCATTAGCAGATGTAGAAGTCGATGGCGCATCCTTCTTGGAAGTGCCATTTTAGAAGCCAAAACAGTGAATGATGAAGAGACTCGGTGCTCCCTTTTATATTATTTTGATTATCCGTGCGTTCCACCAATTTGAAGCACGAGTGTCGTGCTTAACACTTCCGTGTTCATTACGTTTCTCTTATTTCTTAAGTACGATTTCTGAAAACGTACGCTTCACTTGCAATACACGTACGATTATTTTACTCACTGTGTGCGACACAAGTACAGATTGTACGTGCTCCTTATTTCTTCCTACTTCCAAAGGCGTACAGACCACTTGCGGGCCCCACGTTTAGAGCACGACACACCTAATTATAAAGTACTTACTACCTACGTCCGCTGCGATTTAATTTTCATCCTGCGACAACGCTACGCCTGACAAGAACTCCGAGGACGCACGATCTCTAAGCACGCACGACGGGTTGTAAGAGAGGCTTAAGCAACTAGACCCCTGAACCCAGGGTGTATACACCGTACAGGTGTGGGAGGTCAAAACATAACTCACTCAGTCTTGGCCTTGATGTGCAGGGCTATCCTGATCACCCCAGTAGAGGTCAGCTTGTTGTAAAACCTGATGACAAGTTCTTGTGGACACAGCTGACCAACTGACACCAATGATGTAAACAAACTAGTATACATGTACACCTGGTTGTTAGAGATCTGCTGATAGTGAGTCTACAAAATATATTTTTAAATGTCATGGAACTTTTAAATAAAGGCTTTTGTCACAAGTGAGTTTCATGGACATATCAGAAAGGGTAACATATAAAATGAGTTATATCTTTTAAAAACCTTTGTTAAAAAACTTCAGTGATTGATTTTTCATCTTGATTTCAAATTTGAAAAATAAATTGAACATCCCAGAGAAAGGGATTTGTACCAGAACCAATGGGACACAGCATTCATCTAGTGCTTGCAGCAGGCAATGAACAAAGTTGTCCAGTCTTGACCTAGCCACTGAGGTACCGGGAGCCAAGAAAGACTCCATGTTGGCTGCTGGATCTGACTTGCACTGTACAGCAAGACTGGAAAATAATAATAATAATAATTTGTACGTTATTAAAGGGATAATAACTCTTTGTTTCGGCCAAAAAATGAATTTTCCTGGAGTAAACAACAATTTTCCCATACTTACCAATGGTTAATGAATCCATTTTTACATTCAAAGTTAGTCCCTGGTTTTTTTCTAAAAAGTTTGGTTTTTTGTTTAAATCTCTTAAGAGATTTTAACAGAGTATAGCCATCAATGGAGATCACGTGGTCTAAAGACAAGCTCAGATATCAGAATAATAGCTATAACTGCCGTTTTTGTGGTAAAACAGAATATATTATATTTCTTTGAGATATTCACAATGTTTTTATTGTGAAATATAGATCTCATACGAAGAGTTATTATCCCTTTAAGGTTTATTAGTCCATGGAAAATTCAATTTTTTAAAAGCAATATGAACATGATACCCAAAGTGAGGTCCTACATTCCTGAAAGAAAGAATATTGATTTAAATTAATGAAAATTGCACAATTGGAATCCTATTTCAAAATTATCGCTATCCTTTCACTCAAATTCCACAAATAACAAATATAATAAAGCTAAAAGAAATAAAGCAAAAAAAATGTTTTCTGACGTACATAAAAGCTGCTTCCAGAGAGCGCACAAGTCCCTCTATCCTACTCTCAGCTCTGGTCAACTTGGACTGAACTTCTGCCATCTTGGATTTACCACTGATATCTTTTCCCACCACGGATGAACCCTGGACTCCACGCTTACAGAAAAGTTTCTCCAACTCTACAGACTTACTCATCAACAGCTGGAGGGGATCAATAAGGGCATCATAGGGTACTGGGGAAGGAAGAACCTCTCTCCTGGAAAGTCATTTCATTAATCAACTGGTGCCTTACGTTGGTAGTAAGCTAAGGGCGCATTCCCATAGATTTTAGATCGATCTATTCCCATGGGGAGTCTTACTAGATTACTGTCAGATAATCCGACTTAAATGTCTGTCCTGCCTACTAAAAGCTGTAAAGGGGGTAATTAACTATCGTTCCCGCTCGGCTGACAGCTATTTAGCATGAACCCCCAGCGAGTTAGTTCGATCTTGTTGGATTGATCTAATCTCTGGGAATGGGGTCTAAGTGAGTTTACATGTGATTTTTTAATATGACTACAAGAGGAAAGTTTCCTTGATTTAAAACCATATTTTGGATTAACAGACTGTTGTTTTATCACTTAAACTTTACACATTTTATTTTCTACTTAAAATCGCAGATATAGAAAAAAGGAAGTGTGTGCGTGCCTGCGTAACAAGGTCTCAATTACCTCATTAGATATGTCAAGGCCAGAGCACCACTTTCCATGATGCTGTGGTTATGATGCTTGACTGCTTCTGTTATCACTGACAGACACTTGGTGACCAGAGCAGCACTGGTCAACAACCTCACATTGACAGGGTGTCTGGAAAATATTGAACCTTATAATGGCCAAATAACAAGACTTAAGTGTGCAGAACTCATATATGAGGATAAGGGGTTAATGGTCATTGGCAGAGGACACTGTTTTCACAGCACTTACACAAGCGACTTTATAATAGACTGTACTACTAATATTACCACATTTTTAGGCAGTGTAACATGATAAGTAATGTTGTTTGATAGGTGATAGGGGCATCTTTATCAATAGAATTCAAAATTAAAAAAAAAAACAAAAAAAAAAAAAAAAAAAAAAAACATATATATTGCATTTACTTCTCTAAAATGGCAGCTAATAGTCTCATTCCATGAGAAATAATTTGAGGATTCCGCATCTTAAAAGTGTAATCTAAAGCTGTGAGAATGGGTTCAAAACCTACAAAAAAAATGACAATAAAATTTTTTTTCCAGTTTGATCATCAAGGTTCAATCATAAACTTGCATTCTATGCCTACATCAGTACCATCACAATAATAATTCAATCATAAACTTGCATTCTATGCCTACATCAGTACCATCACAATAATATTACAAAAACATTGCCTTCAATGCAGATGATTTCGGTAAAGTGAATTCTGATACAAATCACTATGCTCCTACCTGCTGATACATTTGCTTAATTCAATAACAACAATAAGTTCTGACCACTTATCTCAAGAACACAGTTTATTTAATACATTTTTAATAATTCATTTTGAACTAAACTAGCACTAGCACCTGTGGCATACAACATTATTTACCATATATCACATGGTTCTTCTTGAAGAATACTTCAACTTCTGACAACAGCAACATACAGCAAAATATGGAGCTAATCAGAAGTTCATTGCTAGTTGCAAGAGCCTCAAATAAATATTCTGTAATGGAATGAAGAGCAGCATTTGGAATTTAAAACAGTGATACCGATTAAATGTCATATATAATATTGTTGTCAGTAAAGTAACACCATTTTATTGCAAGTTGCAACAAAACAGATTAATTACTTCAAGTCATGCTTATCAAGTTCATAGAATTCCAATGGCAATTTTGTTGTGTCAGATCAATTTGTATATTTGGTATACGGAGGCAAACAATTTGTAGGGTATAAATTCACAAACAAAAGGCATGATATGAGGAAAATTTTAACACAATGAAATGTTTTTATACCTGCTATATCAGCTTCAAGAAGGAGCTGAGAAAACTGCTGAGTGGTGTCTCTTGCTGTTAATGTAATGACACACTGCACTGCTGCCACCTGCAGTATATCCTTGTTACTAATCAAGATCTTCTGCAGAGCACTGACCAGCGAGGAGGAACTCTTCATGTACAGTTTACACACACTCTCAGAGTTCAGCATTTGTTTTAAAAGAGCTAGAACAAATAAAAACCACTTGCTTTTTTATAGCTTTATGTCTAAAACAGTAAAAGGACAATAAACTGATATCAAAGTCAGTAAAATAAAACCAACTTGCACGAAGAAAAGTTGTAAAAGTCTAGCACAATGTTACAAATGCAACTGGGTTACCAATACTCACCACATCTATAAGAATAAACCACTTAACCTGCACAAGTAGTTAAGTTGTGAGAAACAGGAAAAGACACCAATTGTGTCTGGATGTGCACTTTAAAATTCAACCACCCCAGTGCAACACAATCACAGTTGTGTGGATGCACAGAGCACAACCAAGTAGTTTTGATTGTGCTTTTATCTAAATTCTTTCTTAGAACACAACCAAACAAACAAGATTGTGTTTTCTCTACCCTCTGTCAGCCAAGATTGTGTTTTTGTCTACATCCTATCTTACAGCACACCCCAACAGCAATGATTGTGATGCTCTACACGCAATAAGTATAGCAACTAAAGATATTACTTGCCAAATATGGCTAAATTCTCTACATAACTGAGCTAACAGCTGTCAACCCATCCCCTATCTTAAGAAATATACCACCTGTACCATTGCATTTAGGTAGAAGTTTTGAAAATAAGACTGAACACACAATTCCTTATTCTGACGAAAAATGGTTTTTGTGAATGCAAACAAAATGCATTGCTGGGAGTGATAAACCAAAGTTTTTAGGGAAGCGCAGTCCAAATAAACATTGTAGGGATGGGTGAGGCAAGTTTAAAAACAGATGCTCTAGTTAACTGATAATCCATTCAGCATACATTTCTTCATTTTTTTTTTTTTTTTGGTCAGTGGTAGGAATAACTTTTCCACCTATGTAATCTGAAACCAATTTGGTCAAAAACATTGGAGTGTGTCATGTGCACTAAAGAATCTTCCAAATGATATACATGTACCATACCTAATGCATTGATGAGCAGGCAATCAGAATTAGACCTGGCAATAACAGACATCACATCCTGTGCTATCTGATCACTGATGTTGACTGGAATGACACTTTCTTGATCTTCCTCTTTATACAATTTGATAAGAATGAAGAAGAGACTCGACTGTACCGTCTCATCTGGGTACTTCAGCCCTGATACCATGTAGTCCAGAAATGATCCTAGAATATGAAATACATAACATTGGTCTAGAGGCCCATTTTAGATAATCCTCAAGTTTGTCTTACCTTTTTAAAACAGTTTTGTCTACTTAAAAAAAAAAAAAAAAAAAAAAAACATGAAAGAAAACAACTTGTCTCTCACACAAAAAAATTGGGTCAAGTGGCTGTCAAGTTTTTTTTTATTTTTGTGAGCTTAAGAGCATCCTGATCATTTCAAAGTTAACTATTTTTTTTAACTCAATTAAAGATAAACCTTTAAATAAGCTTACTTAGGTAAGGGTGGCAGGCTGAAGTTTCATGGGATAAAAAGAGCTCTTGCAAGAAAGATTCATTTTAATCTGATAAATGGGATGATGATAATTCAATCTGATAAACGGGATGATGATAATTCAAAGCTGAGAATCATGTCCAGGAATAAATATGTGAATGATGCATCCACGCACCCACACGGTCAGAGAGAGAAAGAGAGAGAGAGAGAAGAAAGAAAGAAAGAGAGAGAGAGAGAGAGAGAAAATGAATTAAGGGCTCTCTTATAGCAACATAAACACCAATGACATATAACACGTGCCCCTCCTTCAATGAAATGCGTCTGAGCTTCTGCTGGCTTTGTAAAATGTTTACCAACGCAAATTGTGGTTCCTTCTGGCAGGCCTAGAGAGCCACCATCTGTTTTCGTTTCTTTTTTTCCCTATTTATTCCAATTTCAGACAAGAAGCACTATGCTTTAATTACCAATAATATACGTATCTACATGGTCATTCAATGGTTTTATGACACTTGGGCATGTAAGACATACATCAATGATTCTTACATTTTTAAAGTCCAGACCAGCATCACCTTATACACTGCATCTTGACAGTGTTTGTAATAACTTGTAATTTAAGGCAATCATGCTTAATGCATACATGGCACAACCATGTCTTGAGATATGTGGACTGCATGTGCACTGGGGTTATTGTACTTAAATCAAGTTAAACACACAGGTTTTCACCATATTTCAAAGGTACCAGACATAACCGCAGAGGCAGGCTTGTTATCATATTGCATAACTTCATTCCAAAGTCCCATTCTTCTGTTTATAAATACTAGCTCTTTTTTTCTGAAAATCTTTTTGAAGTTTGTAACGTCATCCACGCAAAAAGATAACTGCACAACAACATAAAATACACTAAGGGAAGTAATTTGTTCATTATTTGAAAAAGAGAGGCTCTGCAACAGCTAAATAAATCTGCTAATTTTTGACAGCATCAGACAGCTTTAAATATAGGAAGGAAGGGAATAATTAAATAATAATAGCTGTATCCCCAAGGTGTGCGTCTATGTTGGTGTTAGACAGGTGAGAAGAGATCAGAGAATACACTGTATTGAGAGATTTCTAGGAATACATCCACACTGAGAAGATGCACCTGGACTGCAGGAAATCCTCCAGAATTTTGAACAGGATCTATTTCTCAAAGAGGCTACAGGAAAGGGCAGATTAGTTCTTACAATAAACAGTATTTTAATTACAAAAAGAAACTTCCTTTCTTTGAGATTATGTAAAAGTTCCCTGCTGGACATGTGTTATTCAACAAATGAGAACAACATCTACAGCCATGATAAACCTGAGGTGTCGGAAACTCCAGAGCATTTCCATTTTTTACCCTAGCTTTGTGTTATTTCCCTAGAAGGAGAGACCTACTGCCAGCCTCTCACCTCTTGTAACATGAGCACAGCTCTCACAGCAGGCTCCACACTGTTAGAGAGGTGGAAAGAAGACAAGTACTTCTGAATATTTTGATTTTGGATGAACAGGCATAAGTAAATAGGCTATAAATAGCACTTGTGAAAAATTATTTTGCGGGTGGGAGGAAACTGGTTCTACTGAGGCAGTTCAATTTATATTTCTCAATTTTCTCCAGTGGTTTTCACAAATCTTCACCTGACCCCACCAATGAAAGCCCTTTTTGATGGATTAACTACTAGTGAGAATATTTTCTGGGTTACAGACAACTAGCGTTGGATTACAGAGGGTTGCAATTAACCAGCTTCTGTCAGTTGAGATAGGAGAGTAGACTCTGTATTGAAACTACATGTATGTGGTTTCTCTTCACTGATGTCTGCAGTATGGGGTGAAAAAATAGGGATTCAACTGCACTTAAGCAAACAAAGATAAAGATAGCATATTCACAGAGAAAATGATCCCTGTATAGTTTATTGGGTTAGGGGACATATACCATTTGTTTTGATAGATTTCAAAATTTGAGGTTGATAAAGTAAATGTTTCTACAAATTCTATCAATTTCTGACTTTTAATTTATGTTACTACAAATAAAACTGGACCACTATGATTTGGACTGAACTGATGAAAACATTTCCATGGTAATGGCCAAAGCTCATCATCTGCAGAGTGTACATCATCTATCTTATAAAATGGTAAATTACCAAAAAATATAACTAGGTCATGAAAAAAGATATCAGCTTCATTCAATCTGTGCACTGCATGCATTATCGCTGCATGTGCATCTTTTAGGTGTAATATTCAGACCAATTATTAAGCTTAGAATGGAGGCATGTCAGTCAACAAATATAATTGCTTTAGGAAGTTCTTCCCCATTCTTGAGCTGACCCTCATCAAATTCCAGGTAGACGCTCACTTGTGAAGCAGGTGATAAAACAGGATAAAACTGACACAGGTCAGACGGTCTGATGGCTGTAGGTTTCCCCTGGAAAAACTCCGATACCTTAACCAGGCACCAGATCAAGTATCATGTACAGCAGGCCAGGAAATTCTTAGATATATTCCCTTCATATGATCTATTTCTAAGGTCTCCATCTTAATTTGCTTCCCCCTCCTCCTCCACAATGGGGATTGAGATTGCTCGATACCTCTGCCATGGAAATTGTTTTTGTCTTTGTTGGTTTCTATTTTGATCATGTTTTAGGATAGATCAGAAATGGGTTGGCTTAAAAAAGATTAGATTTTGGTAGTAATCCATTAATTAGTAAATAAATGATTTAATAGTAATGGGATTACATTTTGGTAGTGATCCATTAATCAGTAAATAAATGAATTAATAGTATTGAGATTTGAACAACTTTGGCTGTGACCTGCAGTCTCCTCACAATTACTTTTCTAGTTTTTGTAAAGAATTTTGCCATATTTAATATCCATGTTCATTTATACATCAAACTATCATAATGAATTTCATGTGAAAACTGAAACATAAAATGTTGGTTTCAAATTTAAAGGTGTGGATGTACTGATCTAAAATGATATAAAACTATAAACAATCCAAGTTTCTTTTCCTTGATGAAGTCAAATGGATCTCATAGAGTAAAATGAAAATAAAACATACAAGGAAGAACACTGAAGATCTTAAGAATAATAAATGAAAATCCTTACCCCAGTGTAGGACAAGCTGTCTGGCAAGGGGGGCAATTTTCTCTAGGAGTCTTCCCACAATGTTAAAAGCCACTAAGCTTTTCTTGTAATTGCACAGCCTCAAATGCTAAAATAAATAACACAAGAATATTGAGGCAGTTATATGAATGAGAGTAAGAAAAAAAAGAAAATAAAGTAATAATTATAGTGAATTTTTTCTTTTCCTTTTACATTTAACGGGATGATGATTCAGTTAAATAAAATACGTAAGTTACGCTTCCAGAGATTAAGCGCTGTAAATTGCCCATAATTCTGATCTTTGATCACAACTGACTGGGTCCAAATGTAGTGTGTTTGGACAGTTGTTTTTGCACTCTACACCTTTCACTGGGTGAGGAGAGAAATAAACTCCACATGGTCACACTGAACCAGGTGAAGGAAAAGTTCACGTTTGCTCAATGCTGTATTCTTTGCCTTGCTACATAATATCTACATGTAACATTATAGTATGGTCTTTTTATATATTTTTATAGATATCAATGTTACTCAAAATACGCACAGCATGAAAATCAACATGGCAATTAAAAAAAAAATTACTACATTATTAATAACAGTTAAAACTGTTTGATCTATTCAATATTCAGTAATAGTATAATGGCATTATTAAAATATAATTATAAAATGCATTAGCTAAAATAGATATAAACACTGACAAATATGTGCACTTCAAACATTTTCACAGTTATATAAAAAAGTTAATATCAAATAAAAAATACCACCCATGCAATAGTTAAAATGAACACATATCTATCAGGGATGGCTAGGTATAGGCCTAAAAATTATCTCAGACTATACCCTACAAAGAGTCTGGGTTTCAGAACCTAACATTCTATTTTCAAATTTCCCACTTGTGTCCAAATTTTTGCGTGTTTCATTAAAGTTTACTGCATACATCAATTCTGTTAATTAAATCACATGTTCACAATATCAGACAGCCAAATGCTGTTTGAGAAGGCATGGTAGTTTAAATCACATACAAAGATGATGGTCAAAATCCAATAAATGTGCCATATGTAGATTTGAAAATGATGAAACTGGGAAACATTGTACCTGAAGCTCAAGACACTGTGAAAATGTCAGAAACTATCTTCCATGTACATGAAAGAAAAACTTTATACTGAAACTTGATACTCTATTGAACCAATTGAAAGCTCCTGCATGATCTTAAATCACAACAAAATGAATTTACGATTTGAACTACATGGCAGCAATATTATGGTTCGTACAAAAAGAAAATCCAACAGTGTGGAATTTGAGTCTTCCCAGCAAGTGCACTGTCCGCTGTAAAAGAAATAAACAAAAAACAGGTAAAAACTCAGCAGGAAAATTTGCTGAAATTCATGTCTGAGGCAGCAAAATTGTGAGCAGGTGGAAAAATACCTCCCTATTCCAGTTAAAGGTATATCCCTTGTACAGACTACAGGCCTTAACTGGGGGTTCTTAACCATGCTACACCAGAAACATCTCAAAACAACATCATCTCCATCTCTGAATAAAGACTCTAGGGTTTCTGACTGCTGATTACAAACAAAAAGCAACCAAAAATCAAATTTGACTGAGAGAGAGAGAGAGAGAGAGAAAAGCAACCAAAAATCAAATTTGACTGAGAGAGAGAGAGAGAGAGACAGAGAGAGAGAGAGAGGTGGCATTAAACTTAAACCAATGACGCTGGTGCAATATTGCACTATCTGACAAGGGAGCAGTCACTTAACAGGTTTTATTTCTTATCTTGGGAAATGTCTGCACCTCTCTATGTATAATTAGCCAGGTGTTCAGTAAGCTGTCTCCAGTGAAACTTTATGTAATGTGTTTCAAACTCTCTTGAAAAAAATAAATTAAAAAAGCATGACAAGCTAGAAAGAAAAATAACAGATGAAAATATGATTAATATTTATAGTATTGCTAAAGACTTTTTTAAAATAATGTGATAGGCCCTTTTCTTAAGACTTCAAGTAAAACATGACATACTGAAAATAAAATGCAAATTATGCAAGTTTGACATCTTCTGAGAGTTTGACATCTTCTGTTTGTTTGCTCTGTGAAGGAAAAAAAGGAAAACAAAAATTTTATCAACCTGATATTGAAGTAACTATATCTCTTAGAAGTGATGTCTCAATAACAAAACCTCAAATACATTTAGTTTATCCCTTGACATCATAAGTTCACTTTTCTATCACTTAATTAAAGCAGGACAGTTTATAATGTTTTTCGATGCTGCCCAAGTGATTTGATCCCCAGGCAACTCAAGTGGGCCTCAGTTCATTGAGGATTAAAGGTAGGATTTAGAATAAATACAATTTCCAGTCCACAGAGGGCTCAAGTGATCCTTATTAACTCTGCTCAACTCATGGACACCTTACACAATATGTAAGCACACTACCTGCCTATATCAGTCTTTATTTGCTTTATTTACAACACTATGAGTGCTTAACACAGTCCTTTACATATTATGTAACTCAGCATACACACATTTTATTGGTCATTTCTGAAATGTCTGAGGAAACATCCCCACAGGTTTCCTTCAAATGTCCTTCGCAAACTGTGCCTAAATTAATCCTAAAATCATCTTTATACCTCTATCTTTAAATAAATTACCAACAACAACACAATAATAATAATAATAATAATAATAATAATAATAATAATAATAATAATAATAACTAATTTGTATCTTTTCACAACAGCATTAGACAGGTAACTACATATTATCTATAGAAATTTTGGGTGACTAATACTGTTTACTCACATTTACTCATGTCAACAGAATTATGTCAATTGATTAATGGTAAGAGGTCAGCATACCACAGGAAACCAATGTCACCTTAGTCAACATTGTCTTACTTATGTTTAACCATAAGTGTTCAAAGCAATCCCTCCTTTTAGGATGAAGTTTTAACTTTTGCAGTTTCTTTCTTTGGAATGTGTCAGTCTTATATTGATTAAACTATGAATGGTTATATACACAAAACAGATGAAACATCATAATCCCATGAAAATACTCAAAAATTCATAAGTATTTCTTTATCCGTGATTTTTTTAGTCTCATTAGATTCCATCAAGCAATGTTAAGTTCTTCAAGTTCACCCTATCCACACAATCACATCAATTATCAAATGCCATACAAAATTAACCTGAATTACTAACCATAATAATATCCATAACAACTTCAATAGTGTAAAATTGAAATGATTAGTCATGCTCTTAAGCCAGTCAAATAAACTTCATTTTTATCAATCCCATTCACCTTAAAAGTTTGTGTTGAAAAAAAAGATTTAATAATGACCTACTGCTGGGCACCAAGGTGTTAGGTGCGTGTGGAGTGTGTTTTCACATGCTCTCAGGTATTTTAGTGACCTGACCTATCCTTATAACTGGTGCAGGGGAAACTGATGCTGTACTGCCTGTTAAAATAATCACTTTTTTGATGAACAGACCTGGGTATATACCACAAACTGGGCTTTCTCTGAAAACCTTGTCTGGGTTGTGTGTGTGAGAGAGACAGAAATGCATGGTGGTACAAATACTAGGAATGGTTGTCTGGGGTCCAATATGAGTAGTACAGGTTAGCCCAAAATAATGATGTTAGTATATAGGGGAAAATATCACCAGAATAAAGTAATGGACAAGCAGACCACCGTGTCTGCTACACTAGTATACTGCAAGATAACGATTAAGAGGCTTAAAGAATTCAAAATTTTCTTCAAAATTACTGAGGGGCTACAGACATCTCAGATAATTTGCTGATCTAGTTTCCACTGCTGATGCTAGAGAAATGTCTGACTTAGCTTTATCATCAGCTTGAAAAACACAATAGAGACCAATGGAAACCATCAAATCTCTTGAATTGATTTTGATACTGATAGCGAACAAGATAATGTTTGTAATTTTGATAAGGGTAAATTGAAAAAAAATCATATTTTAATGGCCATTTTCTAAAAAAATGCTATTTTTCAAAGCGTAGGCACAATGCCTGACCTATCCATTCCATGTTTGAAAATGTTTGTAAACCATAAAGACTAGATCAAAACATTCTTGAAACAAAACCTGCAAAGCAGATCCCCTGGCTTAGAAATAAGTGCATTCCGCAACTCAAACCATCTCTATGTTATGATGGGCAATGTACACAGTACTTGCAGTGCTATCAGGCTTAAGTTTGGAATAAGTATAATTTTTCAAGATCAGCAAATCGTAAATTAAAAAAAGGAAACTGCCTGACTTTAATTATGCAAATCAGCACTATTTGGCAATCTGGAATCACATGTAAGTGAATCATAATGCATGTGCAATTGAGATTCACAACAGCATACAACTAAAAAAAATTAACCTAAAGGGATACCGGACTTATCAAAGATAGATTTTGGTTGAGTTAGGTTTTGTATCAAGCTTATGTCTATTTGGGGCAAAATCAGGGATTTTTAATTAACATTTTTCCATTTTTATTTACCAAAATTGTTCTTATCATTTTGAAAAACATAAACAGTGCTCTCTTGCAAAAAAAAATCGGTATTCAATTACATAAACCTACAACTTTTGAACAAAATCACATGCTTCAGTTCCCTTTCTATTAAACAAGCATTAAAGCCACCAGCCATAGAATATTCACCTGAGTGAGAGGTGGAAGATACTATTTCTTGCTCCCCAAATAAGGTTGATGTAATTAATGGAGGGCAATGCTCTGGCCAGCACTAATATCTATGGCCTGCCATAAGTACACATCATTGTGTTTTAAATTGATACAAAAATACTTTTACAGTATTGAATCAAAACTTTTTTATAGTCACATCACAACACACCATTTTTGTGTTTTGTTGCAATAAATAAGTTGCCTTGCATAGCCTAGTAACAGGTAAATATATTCCCTGTGTGTGTTCTGTCATGGAATAGTACTGGCACATGGGAAACTTAAATCACTAGCTTTCTATATTATCATGCAACAGACCACTGGCAAAAATAACCAACAATGATTTATTTGGTTTTCCTGCTTTGCACAAAAAGCTTCAAAGCGTACTTGCTCTCTGCTCTCCCATCTGGAACTTTGGCCATTGCCAATGTGGGAAGATTCATTCATGACAGTTGAATGGTACATTCACACTTATTGATATCAGAATGAAAACAATAACTACAAATCAAGATGAAACATAACAATAAATATATATCATAGCTTCTCCTGAAATATTAACGGTTTAAGGTAATTTGCCTTTACAATGCTTATGAAATTCTAGGAAAGAGAAGAAAAACCATATGATTTTTACAGAAAGTTTTTAAGTAAATAACTCAAAAATTGCTATCTGATTACCTCATGAGTGATATGATCCAATACAAAGCAAACAAACTGATCCGACTGCATAAGACAAGTCAACTGTACCACAGCTGAAAAAGAACATAAAAACAAATATTAATAAAAACATTAAAATGTTACAAAAACGTTATGTATGCTATTTTTTAAGATTAAGAAGAGAACTATATAGAAAAATTGCTAGACTTCTATGATCATATGCACTGCCACAAAATAATGTAGTTTTAGGCCAAGATACAATAATATTTGTGGTTAGTCTTCATAGTTCCTTTACCTTCAGTTACAATTGGGACAAAAGTGTTGTCAGAAACTTGTAAGAACCCTGGAAATACAAAAGATGATATTTCCGCTGGTCACAGACATGTGAAAAGCATATCTACAAACTGACTGTCCTTTGATTGACTGAGAAAGCTTTGCTTTACATCTTTTAAAAAAATTATTTTTTCTGCCTAATGGAGAAACATAGAAAACAAATGTAACCATGTGCTAGTCAATTTTCTAAAATTAAGTTGACTCTAAACTCTTGAAATTTAAATAAGTGGTTATTTGGAATAGAAATAATTAATGTAATCAGATCCATAGCCAGGGAAGGGTTTGGGGGGTTAGAACAAACTGCTTTTTTGATGGGGAATAGGTCAGCTTTGGGCAAAATTTGATTTTGGCACAAGAAGATTCCATGGAAAGAGCTTCCCTTTTTTTTTAGAAAAAAAGAAACTCCCTTTTTGAAATCCCTGGCTATGGGCTTGACAGTACTTAAAAATACTTTACCCAACAAACATTCACAAAGTCTTTCACCAAGCCTCAATTCTGTACACAATGAAGTGATGATTTCTTTTGGTCTGGCTGATAATGCACCTAGAAATTCTGAAACTATGAATTTCTTTTTTATGAGCAGAACATTTTCACTGCTCAGTAGTTCAACTACACAGCAAATGCACAAAGGAGGAGAGTTTATTCTCCAGTGTACTATAAAACCTGAAGGATGGCACCAGTGATCACTTGTCACCAGTATTGTTGTGTCAGCCATAATTCTTGTAGATTTGCTTCTTAGTCACTTCACTCCTACAAATAATGATTTAACCAAATAAGGTATGGGGCAATAAAATGCTAAATAGGGAGGAAACTTGATCCTGACCCTCCCCTGAATTTCCCCCATTGAAATATTTAATTTTACATTGTTTAATACAAAACTCAAACTTTCTGCACAAAATTTTGAACATAGGAAGAAGGAAGTTTGCTAAAGGGAGAAGAATTACATATCTAATCATTGAAATATCAGGTTATATGTTTTCAAGTAAATTATTATCAAGAGATACGTTGCGTGAAGAAAGTAATGGAATGTATAACAACTGCATTATTTTAGCACTACGTCGGCCTGTATCTTGTGAACATTACTATGACTATCAGGTACCAGAGTCGGAGACCAAAGTCAATATTCAAAGGGCCGATCTGAGACTAACGGTGTGACGATGAAAGAACTACGGTACTAGGCAGTGACAAAATACGCGATTGATGCTGAAAACGCGGTTGCAAGTGCCAAGTACTATGTACTGCTCACACTAAGTTTAAAACACTTAAAATAATAATAATACAAAAACGGGATGAAGAAATTAAATATGCCCATCAAACCTATCCAAACCTACATTTTACAACAACCTCGGGTGATTTTGCCGCTTCCAAACTATCTATAAAAACAAATCTTTTTTCATAAATGAGCTCCATTTGCATCTTCCAAGACAAGCTTAATTTTGACACGCTAACACGCTTAAGATATTGCAAATCAGCGCCATACATGAACAAAGAATATGTTAAATTTTAAAATATGTCTAGTCTATTCACATTGACAATTATATAAAAACACTAATCCTTCATGTCTCCTCGTTTACACACAAAATTAACAAACACAAGTAGGCCTATGATGTTCGAAAGTTGGCCGGTGACGGTCGCTATTATTTAAAAATCGCCGTAATAGAATGAATAATGTTATTTAGAACATATCATTGGATAATGTTGAGTAATAGCAATTACGTAAAGTTAAGGCCTGAAAATCTTGCCTTGTTATATATTATCCAAACAAATTTAGCGTTTTATGGGGGAGGAGGCGTGGTTCGATAGGTGACAGGACCGCTTTAATTTCTCTAATATTCTACATCTTTCCTTGTGAACTAAGCAACAGCACAGCCAGTTTAAGAAAAAGATGAAGTGCAGATGAAACATTCAATTGCATTACTTCCAAATCAAAAGAACAATCACATCCTGGATTTCATTCGTGTTCACTGGCACTGGCGGTAATTTAGGTAGGCCTAAGTAAAGTGCCACCCAACATACATTTACGTTCACAGTTATCTTTTATGAACGACAAGTGCTCATATTGGAGGTGGGTTCCAAGTAGTATCTGAAATCCCAGGTACTATACTAATCGCTGGTGCAATATAAAGCAAGTTCATCCTAATAGTGTGTGCAGTGGGCCTACATGTGCATGTATTAATCCCAGGTCGCTTTCTTTTTTTTTTTTTTTTTTTTTTTGGATATAATTCATCGTTTAAGATGAAAATTAATTATAAACACATTCTTACTCTTTAACGGGCCGTGCTATTTTTTTATTATTATTTTCATCAATTTCTTTTTAAAAAACTTATTTTAATTTTTTAATTGATATAATTTAGCATAGGTAAAAGGTGCGATGCGTTTCATATATTAGGACGTAGGCCTACATGTAGGCCTATATCTCTAACGTTGATATACAATGCCGAGTAGCCTATTTTCTTGGATCCGCCGACCGGTCGCCCTTATTTAGTACAGAACGTGGCTCTTTTTTAGATATTAAAATAGGCCTACCTATTGCTACGTATATTTCGCAAAATTTGAGTAATGTATATACAACTGTATATATAGGGTAGGGCCTACTAGTAGGCCTTTACGTCCTCCCACTATTTTTAAGTAACGAAAAATTATTTACAATAAAACAGCATCAAATTCTATATAGATGCCATTACACAAACGCTCTGGTCATATAAGCTGCCGGTTGAATATAATGTTCTGAGCTAAAAGTGAACGCGGTAGAACCCATATAGAAGAGAACGCTAAATAGATGCCGAACATATTTGGCGCATCCTTAAATGGGTAATGAGTGTTTTCACTTACAACGGCGGACGGGATTGGTCTTAAGCTATTTCTAATCCGTCTATTCGCCAATTGCAAACACCTTTAGAACTTCCTCAAGGGGCCAATTGACCCTTGGCTCATATATAAACCTCGCCAGAAAACAGATTTCAGCTAGAACGGCTTTGGATTCGTAAGTACAATGCTAACTGAGCATGTTGCTTATCTTTCTGAGTGTGCAAACATCGAGTCTCAAATAGGTGGTCATCAGCATATGGACGGTTAAGCAGAGCAAGCTCGACAACAATACTCAGTTGCCAAAAGTAAACAAGCAACGATTACCGGCTTTACAATACAACCGGTGGAATATTTACCAAAGGTGTTCAACCGACTGTGATGAGGTCGGGATAGAGTAGAGAGCACTTAATAAGAAGGCATTTCAAATTTTGTGCAAGGGAATTGCTCAAGAAGGCAATCGTTGCCGAGGATTTTATAGGCTTCCCCTTTTCTGCACTCATATGTCGGCTTGATGAAACTGGTGTTCAAAAGCGAAAGTGGGCAAGAAATAGTTCCGAAAATCGGAAGTAGTGCACAGGTTTATTCTTAAACCGGCCGGCAAGTGCGTGATCTTTTTACCTTTTAATTCTGCAAGTGATAATAGTATTATAGGATGAAATGAAGTTAATTTTTTTTCCTTTGCTTTCAGAACCGGGGTCTAGTGCTGTTCCGCCTCACTGCTCTCCTTGTTTGTTACGTTCTCAGCGTCCAGAGTCGCACTGCGGTTGCCTACCTTTTCGTTCAAAAGCAGTTAATTTATTTCGTTGGTTGTACGCACTTAACCTGCCATCATGTCGTACGATCCGAATGATCCAGATATGAAATATCTGGCCATCGACAAGAAGGCTCTGCAGAAGGAACAGACCCAGCCGTTTGACGGTAAGAAGAACTGCTGGGTGCCCCACCAAAAGGAGGGTTTCATGGCAGCCGAAATCCAGAGCACTAAAGGGGATGAAGTAACTGTAAGACTGAATGACGGCAACGTGAGTAGCAATCTTTTTATTTCAATTTAAGCCTGTATAATTCGATACATAATAAGATATTATATTGAAAGTGACAATAGCAATTTGCCTATACATTTAGTCTGAAATTTTGATTGTGAGGATGTCAGAAACTAGCTTATTGGCTATGAAAAACCAACAGCAACATGGTGTAGAATTAATAGGCAGTTCTCTTTAAATTTCTGTTTTCTGTTTTTCTCAGTCCATACTGACAAAAAAAAAATGAAAAAAAAATGGTTATGGAAATTTATTTATTCTCTCAGATGTAGATAAGTGCATTGGAAAAAATGTCACTATGTTGTGAAAAACAAGGTTTTAAAATGAAAGAAAAGACAACATATTTCCAACTTCAAGTGTCTGAAAAATTATGTAGGAAATGAGATAATTTAACAGCATCTAATTTTGTTGAGGGATGCATTGTTTTATGTAACTGTATTGTTTTTAGACCACCAATTTGCAGATGCTGGGTAGGTACCCTGTACACATGTATGAATGAAAGAAAAAATAGATTGTCATTTTTTTAGATAAAGGTGCTTTTGGCGTTGACAGGGTTGTTATTGTGTTTTAAAGCTGAAAAATGTATCTGATTAGATTTTTGCTGGCTCATTTATTATTTAGATAAAATGAAAGTTTTTTTTTCATACATATTTTTCCATACACATGTATGAATGAAAGAAAAAATAGATTGTCATTTTTTAGATAAAGGTGCTTTTGGCGTTGACAGGGTTGTTATTGTGTTTTAAAGCTGAAAATGTATCTGATTAGATTTTTGCTGGCTCATTTATTATTTAGATAAAATGAAAGTTTTTTTTCCATTTTTTGTCCAAGATAGTTACTATATAAATTAGTTATACATGTATCCACATGTCATATTAGTTGTGATAAATTATTTTTTTAGATACGTGGAATTGACACATTATTTTCTTGATTTCAAAGATTGTTACAGTGAAGAAAGATGACATTCAACAAATGAACCCTCCCAAATTCACAAAATGTGAGGACATGGCAGATCTAACTTATTTAAATGATGCCAGTGTGTTATGGAACCTGAAAGATAGATACTATTCAAACTTGATCTATGTAAGTATCAAACAAATATTTCATTAAATTTTTTATTCATTATGAGTTGTAACGTTTATTTTGCATTACATTACAGATCGTCACAGTTAAGAAAGATGATATTCAACAAATGAATCCACCAAAGTTTGAAAAATATGAGGATATTGCCAACTTGACCTATTTAAATGATGCCTCAGTTTTGTACAATTTGAAAGCAAGATATTATGCAACTCTCATTTACGTAAGTAAGAAAAACCCCAATTCCAAAAAAGAAACTGAAGTTTTTTCCCAGGAATAGGAATTCTCACCCGAAGTGATTTTATTTGAACCTACTATACCTAGTGCACCAACCCGGGTACTGGATCATTTCAAGCATGAAGGATGCACAGGAGATGTGGATAAAATGCACATTTGTAATATTCCCACCTTCTGATGAAAAGTACACTCTTCTTTAGCTTGGAAACCTGGCCCTTTTTCATGGTCAGTTTCCAAGTTAAAGAGACCCCTCAACCTACTTAGCCCGCCCTCCTTATGATCATGTTGGCACCTCAGTTATATGTGGATCAAACAAATATTATGTTATTATACATCATATTTAGTTGATTTATATTGCCATTATGTAGATTATACCTGAGTAGATTTCCTTTATTTACCTCCAGTCAAGTCACTTGTGTTTACTTCCCCTTTCTTGTGGTTTTGATCAGTATCCTTTGTACACATAATCATTGTTCTCTTGCACAGAGAGAACTTAATAGACAACCATTAAGCCATTGTTTATCTGGTTTTAAAAGTAAAACTGACTAGAGCAAGTATAAATGCATTTGAAGCCTTTCTGACCAGCTCGGGTTAGCTTAATTAATAGAGAACATCTGAGTTAAAGTCAAATTTTGATTTTTATATGAAAGATAAGCCATATGACTTTTATTCCCAAGTTTTAAAGATAGAGCTGCAGTTTCTGGTTTCTTCTTTAAAGCTTACACAGTGAACTTTTGGTGCCCCAACTAAATATATCATTGCTATCCAAATTTTGATAGCATAGGATCAAACATGTAGAGGATGTTTTTGTAAGAGTTTATAGTGAAGAATTCTCCTATTTCACATAATTGATTTGAAACTGTCACTAAAAGCTGGTTTGAATGGATTTAACTTGGGGTATATAAAAATCCACAGACATTTTAATGAGAAGCACAAACACTGTTGACCTGTCATATTTACTACATTGCTTCAAAAGCTCCATAGGAAAGAGTTTGTTTGAATATCCCAGAGTGTGTGTTCTGACTAATATGAAATATTTATCTTGGGAAGGCTCAGGTTCCAATGCTGATGGAAGTAAATTGACTCCTCAGTAGAGCCTGGATGAGAGCCTATGGTAAGGCTATATGCATGGTATGGGCATACATGTGTGCTATACACAGCTGAATGCCCTCCATATTTTGGTCTCTACCTGTCTGACCTGGGGAAACACCATAAAAGGTCTTGCTGTGATCAGGTGTTCAGCAGGAAGGGGTTAGACCAACAGATATGCTGCATCCTGCTGAAGTAGGTGTGGTTAAGTGCTACTGATTGTGAACAGGGAAATGTCTCATATAGCCCCATATAAATAGGTTACCTGTAGAGTTGTTAACTTTGGCACCTTTTAATTACCTATACATCAAACTTGTGCCTGCTATCCATAGAGCATTTTTTTTCTGGATCTCATTTCTTGTTTTGAAAGATACATGTACTTTTTGTAACATTTTAAAAAAAATAATTGATTTTATCAAGTCCTTATGGAACAATAGAGATAAATAAGAATACTTAAGCTTTGAAGCAGTATCCCAACATTGGAGATCAGCATGCCTTTCAGAATGGGTCTGTTCACCTTTGCAGTGATTGGCAACTGCAGGATAGGATAACAACCCAGCCTATAAATAACACAAGCTTTGATGCCATATATGTCCACCTGGGAAGAAGAAATCAGTGTAGTATATATAGAGGGAATTTTGCTAATGGAAACATTGCCCAGGTGGGGGAGCTATCCTTATAGATGAAAGAAAGCTTCGGTAATAAAAATTGCATTCCAAACTCTACATCTGCAGAGATTTGGGAGGAAGGGGGAGGTTTTGAAAATTTCACTGTTGATTAATTAATGCAAATTGTTACTTACAGCGCCTCTGATACATGACACACATTTAGTATAAAATGTCTTCACTTAAGATATATAGCTAAGAATTTGCACCTAAAAATTATTTGACCAGTGCATGTCAGGTTGTCAAACCTGGACAAATTTATTAGCCTGAACTTGGTATGGTGTGACTACAAACAAACAAGGCTAATTGACCATGGTAATGAGGCAATGAATTGCGGAAAATTAGACCATTCAGTGCACTTCCACCCTTGGCTTCAGTTGTCTCTGCTACACCTAGAGTGAAAGAGAACTATTGAATTGAATGTAACTCGAGTAGGGAATTTTGACTTCATAGCAAGGAATATGCTTTCATTTAAGTCCAAGCTAATAGAGTCATGTAAACACACCTTTCTCTTCGTGGATTGTTATTGAAGTCATTGGTTTGGGGGTTAAGATTACAAGCTTATTTCACTTCATATGATAAATTGTAATGACAGACTCAAGTTAGAAAATAATTTGATAGGTGTAAGATGTTAGAATTCCACAGCATCAAAAACGAAGAGAAGAATGTGTTTTAAAAACTAAAAATGCCCTCCTTTGATAAAATGTTGTTAGCAAATATACAATGTACAACCCCCCCTCTTTTTTTTTTTTTTTTTTTTTTTTTTTTGCTGTAAGGTGGCCTGAAGAGTACCCAGAAAGCACATGCTAATAGCGTTTCTTCTTTTTATGTGCATTCTGCTTAGATTGTTTAATTTTTGATGATTAAACATTTGCAGGAGAAATTTAAAGAAAGCTTTTCAAACAAGACATGTGACCTTAAAATAGCTTGATATTTACACACCTATTTGTGTGATCCTGTCCAAATTTAACATAGCACACAGAACCTGAGAAAGCATTTAAAGTTGGCTACTTTTCCAAGTCTTGCTAGGCTAGCAAAGAATGAAATGAAATTTATAGGTAACATTTACATACAGAGCTCTTCTGGTTTTGGTACACCAAACTTGTGGGATGATCATTTTAAAAGTGTGTACTTAGTTTGCTGGTTTATATGTAATTGCATGAAAATTTTTTACTTGATTATTTTAATGGCATTATGAAAGCTCTGGTCAGTTTGAATAACTTGTTGAAAAAAAAATGGACAGAAAAATGGAAATGTGGCTGTTATTGACTGGTGGTTAAGTAAAGAAACTGCTCAATTGTATTCATAACAGAAGGAGGCCATTTGGGGAAAAAAAACTAAAGTCTTGTCTCAGTTGGCAATCATACCATGTTATTTCAAGTGGCAGGGGTATGCTGTTAATTGTAGTGTTATTGTGGAATTTGGCAAACCTTCTGATATGACATTTTGAACCATGTTAAACCATATTTATTTTATTAAATCATTACCATGTCATTCACATACCATTCATCATACCTTCCCATATTCCCCCAAACCCTGATTCATATATATTGAAATTACCTGTTATACCAGCCTTGAATTTAACTCAGTTACCTGACAGGAGATAACAATTCCAAAAACCCAAGGCAGTTCCATGCCTGTTATCCGTCACATTTAACCTATCCCATCAAACCCAAAGTTATTCCTCATGTTTGTTTGTTTTTTTTTTTTTTTCTGGCAAGTTGTTAGAAAATTTTCTACCATGCCAGTGTCTTTATTCCCTTCCAAAGAAGATGCACCTCATCCTTATATCCTCCCATTATCTATCATGGACTTGGATCTCAGTATCATGGATCAAGTCATTCATAAGATTTAAATCATGCATTTTATTACCTTCTTGTCATTCATTATTACCCAAGATGTCCTGCATTCTTTATTTCTCTTCCTTTTCTCTCGGTTCTTTTACTTTACCTTTTTTTTCTGCAGTGATGGTGACCAGTTTTCAGTTTTATTTCCAAGCCAAAAAGATGATGCACCACTTTCCATATCCCACCATGAACCAACATCACTATAATAGGATCCCCTCCTACACAAATACCAGGTTTTAAAGCACTTTCCAACTTCTGATACCATATTTGAAGTAGCCCACATCCCCTTGGTGGTACCCAAGTGGTAAATTTAACAAAGCAGATTTCTTTTGGGGGGTATTTAGTTATTATCTCCCACTGAGGCTAATGATTTTTTTCCTGATTACTAACATTGGCTGCATTTTTGGTGTGCTTACAAAACTCTGGATGTGCATACTCTGATTAGATGCTTATTCCACAGCAGAAAAAAGAAAAGCTTTTGCATATTAATGTCTAGTCCCTTTATAATGCCATTTTTCAACTGGAAATCTTTCAATTATCGTATATTATGATTTTGGACAAATCTAAATTGAATCTGTAACAATGAATTGACATGCTGCAAAGCTTATGCAATATGCAAGATAGATTTAAAAAAAATATTAACTTCTATCTGCTTTTGCAATGGAGGCATCAACACTTAAAGTTGCACTTGTAGAAAAATCTTTTAGCATGTAGTATATATGTGCATGATAGTTGTCTGTAATCATGTATATTGTATTGAACTTTGTTGCTCTTGTTATAAGCCGTTTCTGTATTGATGTACAGTATATGTGAATATAATATGCTTAAAGTAGCAAATGCAGGCATGAACTTTTTTTCAATGTTTTCTATGCAATAATATTACATGTACAGCTTTTGATTATCACTTTACATGATGTTCTGTGCATTTAATGCAATTTTTACATGTAGCAAACATTTCCGCAGTGCTTTTAGAGCTGATAATTAGTGTAAGCTTACTAGCTTTTACTGTATGAAATGTTAATGGAAGTACATATGTATTGTCTTAAATATCTGTAGCATGGCTGTTTGTGCTGTATTTCAGACTTATTCTGGACTATTCTGTATAGTCATTAACCCCTATAAGAGACTGCCAATCTATACCCCGAGCATCGTAGACAAATACAGATTCAAGAAAAAGACTGAAATGCCACCTCATTGTTACGCCGTTTGTGACGAGGCATTTCAAAACATGCTGAGAGGTAATATGAGAGTATCCCAAGACCTTTTGAAAAACCCTCTCTTATTGGTTGACATTATTACTTCAGTGCCCCATATCAAAATATGTCCAAATTCCCACATACCCTTTGAAAAAACTCTCCTGTTCCACCAAATGCCCTGCACATTTCCCAGGTGAAAGCACACCCTNTTTTAAAGCTGAAAAATGTATCTGATTAGATTTTTGCTGCCTCATTTATTATTTAGATAAAATGAAAGTTTTTTTTCCATTTTTTGTCCAAGATAGTTACGTCATATTAGTTGTGATAAATTATTTTTTTAGATATGTGGAATTGACACATTATTTTCTTGATTTCAAAGATTGTTACAGTGAAGAAAGATGACATTCAACAAATGAACCCTCCCAAATTCACAAAATGTGAGGACATGGCAGATCTAACTTATTTAAATGATGCCAGTGTGTTATGGAACCTGAAAGATAGATACTATTCAAACTTGATCTATGTAAGTATCAAACAAATATTTCATTAAATTTTTTATTCATTATGAGTTGTAACATTTGTTTTGCATTACATTACAGATCGTCACAGTTAAGAAAGATGATATTCAACAAATGAATCCACCAAAGTTTGAAAAATATGAGGATATTGCCAACTTGACCTATTTAAATGATGCCTCAGTTTTGTACAATTTGAAAGCAAGATATTATGCAACTCTCATTTACGTAAGTAAGAAAACCCCCAATTCCAAAAAAGAAACTGAAGTTTTTCCCAGGAATAGGATTTCTCACCTGAAGTGATTTTATTTGAACCTACTATACCTAGTGCACCAACCCGGGTACTGGATAATTTCAAGCATGAAGGATGCACAGGAGATGTGGATAAAATGCACATTTGTAATATTCCCACCTTCTGATGAAAAGTACACTCTTCTTTAGCTTGGAAACCTGGCCCTTTTTCATGGTCAGTTTCCAAGTTAAAGAGACCCCTCAACCTACTTAGCCCGCCCTCCTTATGATCATGTTGGCACCTCAGTTATATGTGGATCAAACAAATATTATGTTATTATACATCATATTTAGTTGATTTATATTGCCATTATGTAGATTATACCTGAGTAGATTTCCTTTATTTACCTCCAGTCAAGTCACTTGTGTTTACTTCCCCTTTCTTGTGGTTTTGATCAGTATCTTTTGTACACATAATCATTGTTCTCTTGCACAGAGAAAACTTAATAGACAACCATTAAGCCATTGTTTATCTGGTTTTAAAAGTAAAACTGACTAGAGCAAGTATAAATGCATTTGAAGTCTTTCTGACCAGCTAGGGTTAGCTTAATAGAGAACGTTTGAGTTAAAGACAAATTTTGATTTTTATATGAAAGATAAGCCATATGACTTTTATTCCCAAGTTTTTAAGGATAGAGCTGCAGTTTCTGGTTTCTTCTTTAAAGCTTTCACAGTGAACTTTTGATGCCCCAACTAAATATATCATTGCTATCCAAATTTTGATTGCATAGGATCAAACATGTAGAGGATGTTTTTGTAAGAGTTTATAGTGAAGAATTCTCTTATTTCACATAATTGATTTGAAACTGTCACTCAAAGCTGGTTTGAATGGATTTAACTTGGGGTATATAAAAATCCACAGACATTTTAATGAGAAGCACAAACACTGTTGACCTGTCATATTTACTACATTGCTTCAAAAGCTCCATAGGAAAGAGTTTGTTTGAATATCCCAGAGTGTGTGTTCTGACTAATATGAAATATTTATCTTGGGAAGGCTCAGGTTCCAATGCTGATGGAAGTAAATTGACTCCTCAGTAGAGCCTGGATGAGAGCCTATGGTAAGACTCTATGCATGGTATGGGCATACATGTGTGCTATACACAGCTGAATGCCCTCCATATTTTGGTCTCTACCTGTCTGACCTGGGGAAACACCATAAAAGGTCTTGCTGTGATCAGGTGTTCAGCAGGAAGGGGTTAGACCAACAGATATGCTGCATCCTGCTGAAGCAGGTGTGGTTAAGTGCTACTGATTGTGAACAGGGAAATATCTCATATAGCCCCATATAAATAGGTTACCTGTAGAGTTGTTAACTTTGGCACCTTTTAATTACCTATACATCAAACTTGTGCCTGCTATCCATAGAGCATTTTTTTCTGGATCTCATTTCTTGTTTTGAAAGATACATGTACTTTTTGTAACATTTTTAAAAATAATTGATTTTATCAAGTCCTTATGGAACAATAGAGATAAATAAGAATACTTAAGCTTTGAAGCAGTATCCCAACATTGGAGATCAGCATGCCTTTCAGAATGGGTCTGTTCACCTTTGCAGTGATTGGCAACTGCAGGATAGGATAACAACCCAGCCTATAAATAACACAAGCTTTGATGCCATATATGTCCACCTGGGAAGAAGAAATCAGTGTAGTATATATAGAGGGAATTTTGCTAATGGAAACATTGCCCAGGTGGGGGAGCTATCCTTATAGATGAAAGAAAGCTTCAGTAATAAAAATTGCATTCCAAACTCTACTTCTGCAGAGATTTGGGAAGAAGAGGGGAGGTTTTGAAAATTTCACTGTTGATTAATTAATGCAAATTGTTACTTACAGCGCCTCTGATACATGACACACATTTAGTATAAAATGTCTTCAGTTTAGATATGTAGCTAAAAATTTGCACCTAAAAATTATTTGACCAGTGCATGTCAGGTTGTCAGACCTGGACAAATTTATTAGCCTGAACTTGGTATGGTGTGACTACAAACAAACAAGGTTAATTGACCATGGTTAATGAGGCAATGAATTGCGGAAAATTAGACCATTCAGTGCACTTCCACCCTTGGCTTCAGTTGTCTCTGCTACACCTAGAGTGAAAGAGAACTATTGAATTGAATGTAACTTGAGTAGGGAATTTTGACTTCATAGCAAGGAATATGCTTTCATTTAAGTCCAAGCTAATAGAGTCATGTAAACACACCTTTCTCTTCATGGATTGTTATTGAAGTCATTGGTTTGGGGGTTAAGATTACAAGCTTATTTCACTTCATATGATAAATTGTAATGACAGACTCAAGTTAGAAAATAATTTGATAGGTGTAAGATGTTAGAATTCCACAGCATCAAAAACGAAGAAAAGAATGTGTTTTAAAACTAAAAATGCCCTCCTTTGATAAAATGTTGTTAGCAAATATACAATGTACAACCCCCCCTTTTTTTTTTTTTTTGCTGTAAGGTGGCCTGAAGAGTACCCAGAAAGCACATGCTAATAGCGTTTCTTCTTTTTATGTGCATTCTGCTTAGATTGTTTAATTTTTGATGATTAAACATTTGCAGGAGAAATTTAAAGAAAGCTTTTCAAACAAGACATGTGACCTTAAAATAGCTTGATATTTACACACCTATTTGTGTGATCCTGTCCAAATTTAACATAGCACACAGAACCTGAGAAAGCATTTAAAGTTGGCTACTTTTCCAAGTCTTGCTAGGCTAGCAAAGAATGAAATGAAATTTATAGGTAACATTTACATACAGAGCTCTTCTGGTTTTGGTAAACCAAACCGGTGGGATGATCATTTTAAAGTGTGTACATAGTTTGCTGGTTTATATGTTATTGCATGAAAATTTTTTAACTTGATTATTTTAATGGCATTATGAAAGCTCTGGTCAGTTTGAATAACTTGTTGAAAAAAAATTGACAGAAAAATGGAAATGTGGCTGTTATTGACTGGTGGTTAAGTAAAGAAACTGCTCAATTGTATTCATAACAGAAGGAGGCCATTTGGGAAAAAAAACTAAAGTCTTGTCTCAGTTGGCAATCATACCATGTTATTTCAAGTGGCAGGGGTATGCTGTTAATTGTAGTGTTATTGTGGAATTTGGCAAACCTTCTGATATGACATTTTGAACCATGTTAAACCATATTTATTTTATTAAATCATTACCATGTCATTCACATACCATTCATCATACCTTCCCATATTCCCCCAAACCCTGATTCATATATTGAAATTACCTGTTATACCAGCCTTGAATTTAACTCAGTTACCTGACAGGAGATAACAATTCCAAAAACCCAAGGCAGTTCCATGCCTGTTATCCGTCACATTTAACCTATCCCATCAAACCCAAAGTTATTCCTCATGTTTGTTTGTTTTTGTTTTTTTTTTCTGGCAAGTTGTTAGAAAAATTTTCTACCATGCCAGTGTCTTTATTCCCTTCCAAAGAAGATACACCTCATCCTTATCCTCCCATTATCTATCATGGACTTGGATCTCAGTATCATGGATCAAGTCATTCATAAGATTTATATCATGCATTTTATTACCTTCTTGTCATTCATTATTACCCAAGATGTCCTGCATTCTTTATTTCTCTTCCTCTTCTCTCGGTTCTTTTACTTTACCTTTTTTTTCTGCAGTGATGGTGACCAGTTTTCAGTTTTATTTCCAAGCCAAAAAGATGATGCACCACTTTCCATATCCCACCATAATAGGAACCCCTCCTACACAAATACCAGGTTTTTAAAGCACTTTCCAACTTCTGATACCATATTTGAAGTAGCCCACATCCCCTTGGTGGTACCCAAGTGGTAAATTTAACAAAGCAGATTTCTTTTGGGGGTATTTAGTTATTATCTCCCACCGAGGCTAATGATTTTTTTCCTGATTACTAACATTGGCTGCATTTTTTGTGTGCTTACAAAACTCTGGATTTGCATATTTTGATTAGATGCTTATTCTACAGCAGAAAAAAGAAAAGCCTTTGCATATTAATGTCTAGTTCCTTTATAATTCCATTTTTCAAATGGAAATCTTTCTATTATCATATATTATGATTTTGGACAAATCTAAATTGAATCTGTAACAATGTATTGACATGCTGCAAAGCTTATGCAATATGCAAGATGGATTTTTAAAAAATGTTAACTTCTATCTGCTTTTGCAATGGAGGCATCAACACTTAAAGTTGCACTTGTAGAAAAATCTTTTAGCATGTAGTATATATGTGC